AAAAGTTTCAGTTAGTAGGAAATGTTGAATTTTTCCGGGTGGCGGCTGAAGCCTACTCTGATCGATTTGGGACCACTAAAAGATTTTTAACGTGCGCAAGTTGCACACGGAACCTCCGGGATTTTTTGCCCTTGTCCGAGAAGGCTAAGTGTTAGGTCTTACCTACCATACGATCATGGGTGTGGCTGAAAGACAGCAGTAAGAAAGAAGAAAGAGCGATGGCGAAGCAGTAGAAAGGTTGTAGGAAGAGTCAGGAGCCCAGAGGGTAAGGGGGGGGGGGGGAGGAGGTGCGGGGATGGGGGCAGAAAGTGGAGACAGGTGAAAGGAGAACATTTTAGAGAAAAACATTTTCCATCGCTAGTCGGATTCGAACCCCGGACCTATCGAATGAGAGTCGAACACCTTAACTTCTAGACCACAAGAGCCTCTATCGATATTTAGCTGGTGTTATATTGTGCAAATAATAGTCTATGAGTATATTTGTTGCTCCCCGCTGAACTGGAAGTAGGATTTAGAGCAAGATGATATGTTGTTTAGTACCCGTTTTCAGACGGGGGAGGGGGCGGGGTAAAATTTTAATGTTCTCTTAGTCGGGTTCTTTATTGTTGTTGGGGTTGTTTTTTTTTGGGGGGGGGGGGTTTGGGGGGGGGGTTGTTTGTTGTTGTTTTTTAAAGAAATTAATTAATAAGCAACACCGTATAGTTACATAGTATGATCTCTCCAAAAGCAGTCTTTAAGCTGGTTTGTTCTGCTGCCTCTTGACGAGTTACTCACGACTGCCAACAAAACAGTGTGCCACTTGCAAATATAGAGTTAATATTCGCACCAATAGTAACCTCTACTTCAAAGAGCATGGACGGCGGGCGTACCCTCGAATGACTAACCCAATGTTCGCAATCTTTTGATCTACGTAACAGTTCTCAGAAAGGCGAACTTCTTGCCGGCGATACTTTTGTGATTCGATACCAGTATTCGCACTTAAGCCCGTGAGTGTTGAAAACATTACAGTTGAAATACATGTAATTCTGCATTCGAACGGGCTATTGACCATCACAATCCAATGGTGAAAACCGGTCTGGATTGAGGCTTGTTTTATTATCATGCTTTATGTAGTCCCGCCATGTTTTTGTTAAATTGAGACGATTAAATATTTATTTAAGTAAACGAAGTAGAGGAATAAAACAAAGCTGCATTGTCTTGGGCGTGTCATTTCAGTACTGAAGTTGTGAGATTCGCACAGTATTGTGGTCTTGAAAGATGACCGATCGTTTCTTTTCCTTCTTTTTCTTTCTATTTTGAGTCTGGGATGCTTCTGCATCACAACAACAACAACAACAACAATGTACAACAGCAGCAGCAGCAGCAGCAGCAGCTGCAGCAGGAGTAGCAATAACAGCAACAACAACAACACCAACAACACCAACAACAACAACAACAACAACAACAATAACTCAGAGCGGCTGCAAATCAAGTAGAGTAGATATATTGTGGTCATGAAGTGTTAAGTAAGACGGTATGTGTTCGCTGCACAGTTCGCTGTCCCACAGCTACACCAAGAATCGAAAACACTGAAATTAAATTATTCTCATGTTGTCATCGAGAATGAAACTCATCATCATCCGGTGACTTGCCGACTGGCGTGGGCGATCATGGACCTCCACTTCACTCTGTCTTGCGTTGCATCAATGGTGTCAGTTTTTCTTGCTGCTCCTAGCCATGTTGTCATCTTGTCCAGTATCTTTTCCCTCTGTCTGTCTGTGCCTCTCTTTCCATCAAACTTGCCTGTTGTTACAATATTCTCCAATGCTTCTTTCCGCATTGTGTCTGAAGAAATTTGCCTGTCGCTTTCTTATATTCGTCATAAGCTGTCTTCTATAATTTGCTTCAACCAAGACTTCTTCATTTGTTTTTCTAGCTCTCCATGGGATACTACCTTGAAACTACTTTAAGGAAAAAGTCGTCGCTAGAAGATGGCGGCAGGTTTGTCGCTCAATGAAAGCCTGCAGATAAAAGTTTGGTCGTTGAAGGGTGCGACCGGGACGACAGAGGTGGAATGCCATGACCATTCTTTTATTTGACAAGAGAGTTTGTCTGACTAACTAGTTAACAAAAGATCTATTGAAATTTGGTATCGATAATTTATAATCGCTCGACGAAATACTAAGGTCATTTAGACGACTGTTCAAGCCAAGCTGATACATAGCAATTACATGCACTGCAAATTACAGAATGATCACTCTTCTGACTGTTGTATTGGCTTATCATAACTCCACCCGACCGTGTCCGGAAGTCAGGGATCTAAAAATGATCTTCCCTCTCTCACGCACCTCAGAGATTCGATGGGTAGTCTTTCGTGACGAACCCACCCCAAAGAAGTAAAAAGACAGAATTTATCGGTCATTTGAAAGGAGAGTATGC